GAGTTTTGGAGTTGAGGGCCGAAGAAAGCCTCGCGGTCGAAGACTTTGTCATAATCGACACGGATGGTAAAGCATTTCTCTCCTGCTGTTTTGGACACATCATAGGATCCTGTCTCCTTCTCACGTGGAACAATCGAGCAGACGTATCGCCCGTCCGATAGTCCAGAAATTCGACCAGGGAATTCACGGTCGACGAATTCCTGGGACTCTCCGTCGATGTTCTTGAAGTTGGATATGTAGACTCCGGTAATCACGCCGTTACGCATGATTCGCCATTCGCAGGTAATTTCGTCCGTGTCGATCCGCCTCTCGCAGGTAAAGCTAGGAGCACACCCAACAGAGCAGTTTTGTTTCCTCGGATGCATTTCGAGACACCAAATGCAGGCGATGTCTTTGGGTGAGTCGCGCTGCAAGCCCTGAAGAAACTCAAACCGGTGGTATTCCATTGGGAACGGTTCATGGCAGGGACGACAGAAGAACATATCAGACGTCTGGGGAAAGTCCATTGCTCTCAAGTCGCCGTTGGCGAAGAACCGATACGCTCCTGCCAACCGTCCGTTAGTCCGTACTCCTGCCGCCCAAATGCCGCTCATGCTGCGATTTATGTATATGACTTACCCTTGGAAGCTAGGGCAAGTGAGGCGCAGTCTGCCGGGCCCAGGCAGCTCACGATTTTGAGCAGGATTTCGGGCGGGAGGTTAGCTAACCCTGCCCCGTTGCCTCTTGGGGTGGAACGCCGAGTGTTGCTTTTCTTCTTGTCGCGGCTTCTGCTCTTCTGGGCTTGACGCCTGTTGGCTTTGCGACTACAGCTCATAGTTAGGAACATGTTTCCATGGAGCGGAGAGCAGATGGAAAACTTACGCAGACATTTGTGCAGATGAATAGGTAAAAGGAGTGCCTGTTGGGATGTTCTTGTGATAAATTAAAATACAGGATGTGGATGTGTGTATATGAATAAGTTGAATATATATATAGCGGTGCTTTTTCCCCACAATCCTATACCAATAGGTTGAAATGATGTCGGAGTGGAGGAGCTTTGCTTGGGAAATGGAAGAAAGGGAGTCCCAACACCTCCTGTATACTCCAGCGAAAGGTTAAAATGATCTAATGAGAGACCTTGATCAGCGATCTTAAACTGTAAACGGGTTGTCAAATGGCGAAGAGGCATATTTAGAATTCAACAATTGGGGGGGGGGGGGGGGTTCCCGGCGCTGGGGGAACTGCAGGTATGCAACGCTTGCTAATAGTTTCCGGCATAATGGGAGTAAGCCCATTCATCCAGATGGACTGGATTGGAGAGTAAGACGTCAATATATACATATCTCCCAAGTAGGAAATAATGCCTGGAGATAAACTCTGGTTTTCTCCCTGACCTGGAAAAATGACGTCAAAATTGGATTTCACTGCGAATCCGTTTACCGTGAATAAATATATCAATGAGACCGCCCACCACCCCATCAAACTCATCGCCGCTACAGCGGATGCAGAAGCAAATACCTTCCAGATGATATATATGCAAAACAAGCAGACGGCATGCAAAAGAGCTCTAGTCAGATAACGCTCTGATGCAGATACAACATGGGCTGTCGGCCAGAGCATTGCAAAAAAGCCGTCCCAATTAGACATAAGTCTATGATTAATAAGAAATGACATTCAAGACTTCGAGCACTTGACGTGACAAGGTTTGCCAATAATACGCAAACGAGGAACGGATGGATATATGGATGGGGGTTTATTAACGATTGACACTCTGGAGGAATTTCCCCTCCCAGACGGCTATCAGATAAAACACTGTCATGGCTGAAGCTATCCTATACAACTATACTTCTCAACAGGAAATTAGTCCTTTCACTACAGGAATTGAACTAAGGGACAACGAACGTCTTTTTTCTTCTTTTTTTTTTTTTTTTTTTTTTTTTTTTTTTTTTTAAAAAAAAAAAAAAAATAAATAGTCTGCACCCTGGGGAATCGTCGTTTATTTTTTTGCACAGCAAGCTGATTGTATAGCGGTTTTTGGTGAAGGTTAGTAAGTACATGGACCAAAGTTGGGTCAGGTTAAGCTTAATTAAACTTCGGGGTTAACGGTCAAGCAAGCATCGCGCAGATCACAATGCAACAGCGTTACCACCTCACAGCCACGATTAGCCAATTGAATCTAGTATTTGTGTCATTCTAGAAGGGATTCTGATATCCGCAGCCTATTTTAAACCCCACCAACCTGATTTGACATCGTAAACGTCAACCTGCACCCAAACATACAAAAAGCATTCGGACATACGCTGGATCCAAACGGACCCTTGAAGCGAGACAATTCCTAACACTTGAAGATGATGAAAATTGGGGTAGAGAATTAGAACGACTGGTGTCAGAAGAGAGAGAAGCTGAGGGATTTGTGTAAGGGTCACTACCACTATGGTGTAGATAAAGAAGATGATTTGGGGAGAGAAATCGAGATGGTGGTGAATGCCATAAATATATGGTTGTATAGACGTTTAATGAAAATAATTGAAAGCAAAAGAGGAGCATCAGAAAGTACCTCGGAAACATACATAAAATTGACACTCTTGCCCCTCTCTATCACCAAAAATATATTATTTTCGTCTCTCGCTTAGACCGCGACAAGGTGGTCGTGCCGAACTGCTCATCTTGCAGCTCAACCTCCTATCATGTCAGTATCCACAGGAGCCACTGTAACGTCAAGGTGAAATGTCAATGACGGACAGAGGAAAGTAGATAGATTGGGTGGGGTAGCAGTTGCGAATAAGCCAAAGTCGAAACAGAATAACAATTACGCGACGTCTATTCGCTGAGAGATGGTTGTGCTCGGTGCTGTGCCATTGGAATATGAGATTCGGATATAAAAACTCCTTGAGCCGATCAGGAAGAGAGCTGAGAACTCAGATTACAGGAGGGAGCTCATATTCCTCCATACTCCGTAGTGAAATAAGCAGCCGGGAATCCTGTTTCCAACATGATACAATATCGGGAGTCAATGCCCAACTGCCGTTCCGCGACACCGAATTTCTGCGGCTGCTGGAATGACGTCAATGCCGAAATTAGTGTTTCTCGGTTGGTTCAAGCATCTTCCAATTGGCTGTCCGGAACCACAGGATGATCCGACCCCGTTTTCTTTTGGGCCTAAGCTGTATCTGGATAGCTCCTGCTTCGTCACGTGCCTCGCTGTCTGGCCCCGGGAATTGAGATACAAAAAGAGTTCGCCGCAGCTAAAGCATCACGAATACGAAAATCTTGGAACTTGGCTGACGTTTACATATTTAACAGATGTTTGAGGAGATAGAGAGGGTGCCTTGACCAATTGCAGCCTGATACGGCCCTCTGACTCACGCTTGGATTTCATACTTCTATATATAACCACCATGCACATCCAAGGGCAGAATTAATTTCCCTGTATTTTGCCGGCAGTTCTTCAAGCGGCCGGGTCACAAGCCGCCATCTGACCTTATACAGCTTTCCTGCAGTCCGCGGTATGCAGCAGCTATGTCTAATGGCTCCACAAACCGTGTCCAGCTGAAGGCCTCTTCGTGTGCGTCTCCTACAGTGCGGGGTCCCCAAGAGACAATAGAACTGCTAACGGTCATTCCAGCCTCAAAGCCAACGTTCCATTTCGCTGCCGGCCTGGCCTCTGGCCTCACATCCGCCGTCCTTCTCCAGCCTGCCGACCTCCTAAAGACAAGAATCCAGCAAGGACGCCAGACGTCCTCCCTTCTCACCACCGTTCGCAAAATCCTTGCATCGTCCCAGCCAATCCGCGGTCTCTGGCGAGGGACACTACCCTCCGCGCTCCGAACCGGACTTGGGTCCGCTCTCTACTTTTCTACTTTGAATGCCTTAAGGCAAGCGGTATCAAATAGGGACACCTGTGTGTTGCTTTATAGCCAATATGATACCCTGCCGAAACGCACTTCCGCACTTCCCCAGCTCTCACACACGGCAAATCTCGTGACGGGGGCCCTTGCTCGAACAGCTGCAGGTTTCGTCATGATGCCTGTCACTGTGCTCAAAGCACGTTATGAATCAGACTACTACGCATACCGGAGCCTTTGGGGAGCCGGTCGGGACATCGTGCGAACTGAGGGGTTTCGTGGGCTATTTTCGGGTTTTGGTGCAACAGCCATTCGTGATGCTCCATACGCCGGCCTGTACATTGTATTTTACGAGCAATCGAAGAAATATCTTTCCTCACTTGGCTTTGGTGGATCTCCGTCGCCGGTATGGCCACCATCCGGGGAGCAGAACACCATAGACACCGCTGAACGGCAATCTACCCCCTCGTCAATATCGGTGAATTTTGTTTCAGGTGCATTGGCTGCTGGCTTAGCGACAGCTATCACCAACCCTTTCGACGTCGTCAAAACACGTCTGCAGCTGATGCCCTACAAATACCGCAATATGGTCCATGCTGTACAACTCATGCTCCGCGAAGATGGAGTGCGGAGCCTCTTTTCAGGCTTGGGTTTACGTATGGGCCGAAAAGCAATTAGCTCTGCGCTTGCCTGGACTGTGTATGAAGAGCTAATCCTGAAGGCTGAAAAGAGATGGCCAGATCAAGATAATATTGAATTGACGCCCTGATCTGCTTTTCGCTTTCATTGATGCAATCCTTGCAATCTCACATGATAACATAACTCGCTAGATTATATTGCATATTATGTGCGTTTAACTTGTTTGACATGTACCCTTATTCGTCTGCTTCTGGGAAGCATGGTTTGGGGAAATGTGGGTCTTGGGTGTCGACTCTTCTCAACAATTCCATGTACCATAGAATGGGGGAAAACGGGCCTGGGTGAGCATTCAAGCCCAGCATTTTGCTAGTATGTACAAATAGTACGATAAAGAAAATTATTATTATTTGGTATCAGGGAATTCACACCAATTGAAAAAAAAAAAAAAATAATAATAAAATAATAAAACTAAAATAAAAAATGCAAAGGAGAAAGCGTTTCCGAAACCGTACATGAGGGCCGGCCCATCTAGTGGGATTATCGGAATGCGGAATGCATGATCCCGACTAGGGATCGACCGCCCTTCCGGCCCGGTCCTAAATTGAAAATGGGGTAGATGAAAATCAAAAATAGAATAGAATAAATAGAATTAAAGTAATGATACGATCCCAGGTCACGTTAGACCAAAGAGTGACCAAAGGTAGTTGCTGCATTAGAGAAAAGTAGCTTATAAAAGTGAAGGGTCGGTTGCTGGATACAAGTAACCCCATCAAATACCGCTCGCTCCCTTCTCCCCTGTCTCGCCTAAAGCGGACTCAGCAAGTAGCGTTTCATGGTCACCACTGTTTTGTGACGGATTGAACACTTCCTGCTTTTTGTCCGTAATTGTTGGTACAGACATTGTCCCAGTGCAGCTCGACGCTGATGCTGCCATTGACGATGTTGTAGCAGCAGAGCACCATATCCACTTCAACAATGATAAAGGGGAGAAATAATTCGTCAGAGGCTTGAACAGACAGCATAAACAAGAAAGATCGTTTCAGTAAACAGGAGACAGAGAGTGCGAATCTGGTACGTAGATAGATTGAAAATTGTGCAACAATGCTCAAATCCTAGATTTATAAACAGATTTGAAATGAAGATTGAAAAAAAAAAAAAAGAAAAAAGAAAAAAGAAAGGCAACTGCCAGAGGGGAATACGGAATGACAGCAACGAATTTACCACAGCCAAGCACCACACCGTGGTGACTTCTTCCGCGACGGTCGAACTAAAAACATCTCATCCCGATCCCTGACCCGGACGCCTACATGTGGCTGTGGGGAAGGAGGGGCAATCAGTAGCTTTTGGCGGTCTCGTAGAGTCCGGGTATGTTCGAATAGATCCTCTTGCACATCGTCACTAATCATGCGCTTAATAAGAATGAATCCCCCATCGCGCTGCGAGTGCATTGATTAGCTATTTGATCCGTTCATGGCTGGTGATAGTTAAAGTTTTTTGGGGTTTTTGACGCCGGGGGATGAATGAATGGACGCCAGAAGAAGATACAGAAAATGAGGGCCAACGTAGGGGATAAAGGGGACACTCACATCATCCCATTCCCACGGTATCTGGAAGGCATCTAGTGTTTCTGGTGAAATATGGTGGTGGGAAACCTAAAGTGGGTTCGTTAAGTATGGACACATTTTGATACTTGGGGAATATCGGACTTAATGCTTAACACACCTTGATATATGTTGGCTTTTGGGTTGGTCGAGCAATCGGGGTCGCTATCGATTTCCCTTCTCCCTTGAGGATGGCCGTAATTTGATCATTAGTATAACCGGCCTTCGCAAGCGTCGCCCTAGCACGGGTTTCAAATTCTTTGTCTGCTTTTTCTTTTTCTTTCTCTTCTCTTTTCTTCCTGTCTGCTTCAGCTCTATGGTAATCTTCGATCGCCTGCTTCTTTAATTGAGTTTCGTATTCTTTGCGCTTGTTTTCCTCGGCCTCCTGTTTGGCTCGTTCAGACTCTACCTTCTGGCGAATCCGCTTCTCACGATCCTTTTCAGCTTCTTCTTCATCCTTGGCTTGCGCGCGCCGCACCAGAATCTGGTCGTCAATGAACCTTTGCGTTTCTAGGTCATGTTGCATTTGGAGTAACCTTTCTATCTGTACTTCGGTTTCTAAATCTCGGCGAGATGCGCTACGTTCCTTGCGTTCGCCCCTGTGGTCCGTTCGGTCCTTTATCCGTTCTCTTTCGCGCTCCACTTCCCGTTCCCTATCCCGAATTCGCCTCTCTCGGTCTTTCTGCAGCTCTTTTATCTGATCATCTAATTTCTTCGCCCGGTCTTCTAGCAAGGCTTCCTCGCGCCGCTCCACAAGCCTTAACCTATCTAGTCGGAGCTGATCCTCGAAATCGACGTGAGGAGAACGGGATGTGGATCGTGGTCGCCGATGGTGGCGGAGTTGCTCTATCTGGTCTTCTATGCCTAGAAAGACGTCATCATCGACGAATGCTCTTGGCCTGGCACGGACGTGGGAATGGGAACGCTCGCGACTCGGGGAGCGATTGTCGTTAACGATATATATGTTGTTGCTTTCTCTACCATGAGGACCCATGGACGAAGCACGTCCACGTCTATGTTTTGGCACCCCCAAGGTCCCGATTTTGGGCGCACGTGAATGAGAACGTTGACGTACCCTAGTATGTTGTCGAAACCGAAGCGAGTCATCGTCTGATGAGGAATATGAGGAGTTTTCGAAGAAAACTTGAGGGGGAGCCATGATGCGGTACTCCGTTGCTTTAATAGTTGAAAAGAAACAGCGTTGATATTAATTAATAAGGCTTGTCGACGCTAGTAATGACCGCTTCTTCTTCCACCAGACACAGAGTGGCTGAGGATGGAGGTATCGCCAAATTGTTTGAGCGTCAATATTGTAGGAAAAATTGATTTCAAAGTTGGCCGGTCGATTTACAGTGTGACACAAAACGACAGGCAAAGAGAACAATATATCCGTAGGGAGGTTGGGTAAGCGTTCTGCAGCGCTCAGGTAAAAATGCGTGAAAGGGGAGAAGTTGGCGAATAATAAAACACACAGAAAAAGTGATTACTTGTTTCACGTTGTCGGTAGTTAGAAGCAATGCCTTATTTATGTGGTCTCTTGCTAGTGTTGGACCTGACGCGGAGATTTGAAGGATCAATTGTTTCGACCCGAAGCGCGGGATCCTTGGGCTGCTGCCAGCCAAATGACCAGCAGTTGGGTATCAAGAAGGCGCTGGTGATCAGAGAAGGGAGATATGTTTCTGGTTTCCCAAGCACAAGGAATGATAGAAGATTTGATTGTGGGGAGTTGGGGAATGTTAGAAGAAAGAAGGGAATGAACTTCCGCTGGATGATGATGTTAGTGCTCAACGATAACTAGTGTCGGTGAGACCTTGACCAGTCACTAATAGTAAATAATTAAACGGCAGCGAGCGAATTTCTGAATATTTTCCTAAGACCAACGTCGTGGGAGGATTTAAACGGTATCACGATAAGAGTGTTTCTGGTCCAGTGGAGATGAAGTTGGAGCCTTGGAGGGCACTGGCCAGTTTCGAACAGCGGGGCACCCTCTATAACGTCGGTGAATCGAGGCTTACTGCGTAGGTATGCATCGATTTAAGGGCCCGGCGGGAAAAGGGCGGCGCCACCTGAGCGACCAGTTGACCTGTTTTCAGCCCCAGACAGGTCGAATCATAGAGGCTCGGGGACAGGAACCCAGCATTGCCAGGAAAATGTAATTGGCCAACCTTAAGCCTCTCTGCATCACGAGCAGACACAGATTGGATGTGCGCCTGAACCTTTCAAGGTTGGAACTCTTCAGCTTGAGATGCCCATCTGAGCCGTTAATTAGTGCTGCTGATAGCTTTGCTTGCTTGCCTCCGAGCACTGAACAGCTGCCTGATGACAGATCAGGACTCCTGCCTTTGGGGCCGGGTAAATAGATCAGATTAGTTAGTTATCTGTGAAGCCTAAATATCCCAAGTATTTACCAGCAAGAAGGCTGGCAATTTTCTTTGCATGAAGAACGAAGGATCCGGTCGAAACACCGCAGGTGCTCAAGAGTGAGTCACTAATCATTCATGAACAGAAACCATCTATGACTTGCTCCACACTTAATCATAGCCTTAGTTGGATACCGCTACTCCGTACTCCGTAGGGTATCCATGGCGGGCCATAACCTTGGAAAACGCTGTGATATTTTTCGGCATTTGAAGAGGTTAGCAGGATGTCATCTATTTAACAGGATCCACAACAGTCAATATTGGGTCAACGGGTTTGGGTTTTGTCCTTTGCGGACCCTCCACCGCAAAATCGGCCCTTCGCCTAAAATGTCTCCATCAATTTATCCGTGCCTGATTGCCGCCTGGCGGCGCCAATAACTAACTACATCTTATCACGATGTTGGGCGTCCTCAACCAACTCCAACAGTCCGTCCTGCGGATGACAAGAAGAAGGGAATGTTAGGCAAAACCAACAGATGAGATGAAGCCTGGCTTTAATCTTGGCTTTACAGTTTTAATGGTGAATTTCAATGATTGGTACGTTTGACTCAACAGAACCACTGATCTTCTCAAGTTACTCATCTTCTGGTCCCCGTCATCGGGCACATAGGCAGATACTATATTTTCATGAACGTTGACTTTCTCTATATCTGGTTATAGCTGTCTATGTAATGTCCTTCTGCCATGAATTTTCAAACCAAACTTGCTATGTACCTCAACAATTCATGTTTCCATTTGCAGCCAGCCAGCCCATATTGCCTAGCAATTCCAATTCCTATTCCCTTGTTTCTCAAAAAATCTCTCCCCTCCACACTTCTAACGACAACCGTCTGAAGAGAAAACGGAAATCAAGAGCTCCCTAGATAAAAAATGAATGTATGAAACTAAGATGATTAACATACACACACATTCTAATAAAGCGGATGTAGCTGGCCCCCCTGAGCATAAGCTCCAGATCCCGTTTGAGTGACATACCGACAGGACCTTCAAGAGCCCAATCCAGCTGGTTTCCTCAAAGTCCGAGGCGATCTTATTAATATACCTAACCAGGCTGTGACTGCAAGATCCCGTGCGGTTGGATGCCCGACTTTGCCTAGGAATAAAGCATTCGATTTTCGGCATAGGACGGTGCCCTGCATTATGTTCTGCTTGGTCGCACTCGCGATATATGGGAATTGCATAACTGAAAGCGCAAATATTCACCCCAATGTCAATATCTAGTGACACCTAGATGTGTAGAACATTTCACCCGCTTACCACCACCATCCTCTGTCTGACACCATAGTCTGATATCCATTCCTGCAACAATACCTATGTCAGCCACAGCAGGGCATCATCCAGTATCGTTATTTATCTGCAACACAAGAAATTTTGGGGAGGTTTAGCACTACATCAAATAATGGGCCATTACTGTTGGCTTAAGGGGTAGGAAATATGGTGTAATGAAACGCTTATGCTTGGAGTTGGATAGGGTAATTTAAAAGAAGAGGAACACGGTTGTTGTGGATATAGCGATTATCGAGTTATGAATCGGATAGAACAGTAAAGTTTCGACGGCCATGCTCAGTACGTCTGCGGCAAGCTTAGAATGAATCAAGCTTTGACAACTGTTCTCCACTCCTCACAAGATAAATGTTCGCAATGCTTCCCTTCCCACGACTCAAGATGCCGCCTAACCGTTCCAGATCAACGATGGTTCGCAGCGCAGTTACCCGTCCCTGGATAGGATAGCTCAATGTATCCATAGGTGACCAAACGAAATGACGGACTCTATCTGAATCTGACCGATGTGCCCCTGCGCTTGCCCCTAAACAACCGCGAAGATACGGAAGCAGGGATAGTCGCCCCTCATCGGCTTCTATGGACAGGTAGCCGTTCAAGATATAAAGCCAGCCCTAAACCCATCCGGCACCAAGCTCATTCGTAGATGGCGTTTTATGGGCATACTTTGAATAGCACGATATATAGGGCTTTTAATTTAGGTCCAACCGCATCGTCATGCCTTTCCACCAGGCTGAAATATTTGGTCAATGTGCTGCCGGCTATTCTTATGTGTTGTTTCCAAATAATGCAGCTTTTTCTCAAGACCGGCGATGTCTGTCTTCAACGCATTTGTCTCGGCCGACAATCGTTTATTCACGGTCGTAATGGGGCTTGCGACAAACCTAAATGGGGTTTGTAAGCAAAAAAATTCCCTTTCTTATTCTTTCCTCGTCGCGGGCCGGAGGAACTGAAAAATGGAAGTCGGGAAAGATGAGGTCCAGCTAAAAGTGAATCCATACATTTTGCCAACGCCTTCATATACATTGGTTCCCTTGGGTAACTGGCTAATCTCGCTCGACGTAAGTTCCAGCAAGCGTAATTCCCGCTGTTTTCCCGAGATCTGTGATTTAACTACGTTGATTTGTTGTTGGGCAGCAATGGCGCGGGTTTCAATTTCTTGAACGAGCTATATTTCCAAAGACAAAGCAAGGAGTGTCAGAACAATAACCGCCATTGACAGTAGGAATGGACAGCATTAGAGGATAGTAAGTTGCGGCTCACCTTTTGAAGCGCTTCTGGAGGTATGGACATTTTGAAAGAGGAGGTCGTGAGGGCGAGAAAAACGGGAGATATGAGTGTTCAAGGAATAGATCAGATTTTAATGAGGCGGAATAATAGGAATGCAAGTTATCGATTTCTTCCCAATATTATGTTGAATGACCCCAGTCCAGGACCTTGAGAAAGGCGATTGGAAGTTACAGATAAAGTTACGAGGAGGCTTGTTCGCAAAATGGTTTCCGTCAACATCATCGTAGATCACATGATGAATTTCCATTGCACGTGATTTGTATGTCGCCTTCAGCTTGGACGTGTATTATTGACGTTATTTTTCTTTTTCTTATGAAGTTAAATAACGTATTGTATTATGGACTCGATTTGTCAATGAAAATTTAAATATTCTATATAATAGATGCACAACATATAGAAGAATATAAATTACAACCAAGAATTTAAAAATATAAGAAATTGAGTGAGATGATAGTGTTGAAATTTTTCAAAATTGTATGAGAAATGGACGAGTTCGTTCGGGTTCGTTGGGTTGTTGGATCAGAGAGTAACTAACTAGATGATCTATTGTCATCAAACCACCACAAACTTGCCTCGCGACCAGGTCGGAGGGCCAGTCTCCTTGGGAATAGCAGTGGGTTTCCGCGCATGAAAGGAGGTAGTTTATACCAAGTCCTTTTTAAAAGACTTTTCCCTGTCAATTCGAATCTTTTAGCACCTTGCCTGTGAAGATAGTCGTGCGAAGCGTAAATTGTTTCACAATTATTATCAAACGACAATGTCTAAAGCGCTGTCAGTCATCGGCAGCCTCATGTTGTACGGTAAGTTAGCCAACATATAAACGTCCCTCTTTAACCACAGTAGCGTCCTCTGCCTGCTAATATGGAAGCATTATGTAGCAGCTGCGGCTTCTGGGCTCGGGATTGAAGACACAAATACCTTCGACCCGAAGTATATGGAATCCCTAGAATCAGATGCCAGCACAGAAACCATAACGAACATTCTCGTCCAATGCATCAACTTCCAAAAGCAGCAGAAGCTACACGGATTAATCATGACATTAGTATTCATGATCATCTTCCCTCTGGGCGCGTTGTCCCTTCACCTTCCGCTAAAACTCCGCGTACCCCTTAATTTCCACCTGCCGATCCAGATCGTGGGCGTAATTATGATGGTAGGAGCAACAGCACTGGGGATCCGATTGACATTGGAGGTGCACTTGTGGAATCTGCTACGTGCCCATGTCGCCTTGGGGGCCCTTGCAATGGGCGCAATCCTAATAATCCAACCTACCCTGGGTATTATACAAAGTCGCTGCTCTGAACTTGGGGTAGAGGTTAACAAGAGCAACTTGTGTGGCGTTATGCATAGATGGATAGGGAGGGGAACAATACTTTTGGGCATGGCTAATGCTGGCATCGGGTTCCTGGTCGTGGGTATTGGGACAAGCATAGAAGAGGGCTCGCTGACAAGGAGCTTTGTTTTGATGGGGGTCTTTACGTCGTTGTGGTTCTTGGTTGTATTGGTGGATTTCCACCGTGGGCTGGGCGAGAATGGCGCCCGGCGTAAACGGTAGTTGAGACGGTATTGGAGACGGCGGTCGAGATGAAGGCTGCAAAGTTTGTTAACGAGGAATTCGATCCATGCGTGACTTGTGAAAAGGCCCACTCTCTAGAGAATTGAGCAAAACGGCCCGCATTTGTTGAGCAGTTCTCTCCAACCAATGTCTTTATGTTGAGTAATTACTCCGAAAGTGGTCAATTTGTAAGTATCAGTTTCTCTAGAACACACAGTAAACTGTTAGGTGATACCGCGGCTGTCAGCGACCCTAATTCGTGCCTCCCTATATATCTATTTTAGATTTCGGCTAGCTAGTTCACACAACACCAACAACGTTGTCCTCCATGAGGATATGAGCCCGGCGATTGGAAGAAGCTGCGAATAACGTGCTAACAACGTCTCTACGAATCGTTTAAACGTGCCTAGACCCTCTTTTGGATGCTTGGAAACCATGGTCAATCTCAGATCAGGTAGAATGCCTGATTTATCGAGGGGATATGTACCACCTAGGGCAGGCTCAGCAAACACCTATGATGACGGATCCTTATATGTCCCGCAACGAACCGCTAAGAGAACGAAATCAGTGTCGAATGACGAATTTGAAGACCCGGTTGAAGGCATAGAGATGTCTGACAATGTGGGCGGCCCAAGCGGCCAAGGCTCTGGCCATGATGACTCAGTGAGTGAAGAAACTCACATGAAGCTGGAGATCACGCGCCTTCAGCCCGAAGTCGAACGAATGAGAGATAGTAGAGGAGAGCCTTCTACCGAAGAGGTCAGAGCGGATCTGGCGAACTACCTCCATTGAAAGTGATGGACGCTTGCGATAGTGAAGATCCTTAGCGAATTTAGGGACCAAGTGGGGTGGATCAAGAAGCCTTTTACTGACTGGCTCTACAAACTACCCAATGTGGAAAGAAGTAAATATCCTCCTCGCAGTGAAGCAACCTGAAACCGATGGTATACGGGAAGAAAACAGAAGTCTTCCGATGAGCACACCAGTATGAATATGCGACGGTTTTCGTCAGAAAGAAATATCCAGCTTTACAGCTATATGTGGTCTGCAATCACCTCACAGGCTAAATCTCATTTCTCAATGCCTCGAGATTATCTATTTGTCTGCTTATGCTCTATGGTCTGTCATCAAGGATAACTTCTCAGAGAGGCCTGCAGTCCGGAGAACTCGACTATTTGAGGAGTTGGTTGGAATGACAGCGAAGTCAAAGGGATCTGTTAAGGCATTTATCAAATGTTTAATTGCCATCGGAACTGAGTGTGCCCGTATAGGATATCAAGTGCAGGATTTCATGCACTTTGACCGACTTCTTACAGGAGTTAGCAAGGAATGGGCTTCTTTTATAAGGTACTGTATGGATCAAATTGAGAAAGATGATACGGCTCAAAGATCTTGACTCTAATCTCTTGGGTCTATGCTATGATATCTAACTACGACTGCCAGCTGCCGGTGAACCTCCTAAAATGAATATGAAGACGCCTGTGAATAATGCTCAAGACTCTTTGAAAAAGAATAAGAGCGCAAGGACAAGCACTTCCAGCCTGAGACAAGAGGCAGAAATGCAATCAAAACATGCTATCACTGCCAGAAAGTTGGCCACATACACTCTGAATGTTGCTTGAAATTTCCGGAAAAACGCCTTGCTTCAAGGGTAAGAATAAAGACAAGGATAAGGATGGGACTGGTTCCACCCCAGTTCAAAACATCGTCGAGAGGTATTCCGCACAAACGGAGAAGGCTTATTCTAGTGGCCAGACTGGTGGAGAGACAGGGTCCTATACTGCGGTTCGGGAGCTTACGCCACACCTCGCAAAGAGATCATCGAGACTAAGCCTGAAAAGGTCACCGCCAGTCACATCAGAAATGGCAGACGGAACTACAGTCCCCGCTACGGCTGTAGCCGCAGCTGTAGAGAAGGTTGATATACCTTCTGAAGGGGCGAAAATCCCGTTGAGTGATCTTCGAATGGACACATCCACCATTTGCACCAATCACCAGAACAGCGAAGCCAGCGATGAGATTTTTCATTTATGTTGCGGGTGATAAGCCGTACGCTATATGATGAGAAGGGACCTACCTACTTTGTGGTGGTGGTGGCGGTGGTGGGGGGAGAGGTGCCAAGCAATGGGAATAATGGCTGAGGCGAGGTCTCTTTCTGAGATTATTATGCCTGGCACAACCACAATCAAACGGTTTCCATGAAGCCTCTAACGAAAGTCTGCGTGCGCTTGCTTTCGTTTGAGAAGAAGAGATTGGATTAGTGGAGGTATTCCTTATCTTGCGGCCTAGAGCGAACGCATGGGAAGTACAGGAATAAACTGAATTTTGTGTGTGTTTTGCTTTGAATTATACGGTTATGCTCTGTACGGACGCCTTTCCTATTCAGGAATCAGTTGTCTCTTTGTTGTACTTCAGCTCTTATTGCAGATCTGAATCATTTTTTTTGCTTTTTGGAGCTTGAGCTAGCAAGGCGCAGCGGCAGAGCTTCGTGAAATGCCGCAAGAATGTGGGGCTGTTAGGTGATAGGTGATAATGCCGCTATCATGATCACGTGCTCCCTATATATAGTTCGGATATCGGTTGGCTGGTCCACACACAACAACATGTTTGTTCCATGAGAAACAGCAGCTGATTAGGGTTAGGGTTTGGCAGATCCGGAGATCGCATCACTTATCGATGACGTAATGGCCAACATGTGATCGGCATGCAACGGAAGTAGTCCGGATGCTGATTGGCTGCTTCGGATGCCTGTCTCTGCCTGCCATATCCAGCAAACAAGCGCCAAGACTGGGCAACAAAAGAGAACGTCGATGACTAAGCAGTAGGGTCTGGTTTACTTCTAGGGAGGCTCAACCAAGATTTGTATCTCTCAAGCGATTTGTCCATTTGTCCATTTGTCCATTTGTCCAGTTCTCCTTGCGGCTGCTCTTTGTTCCAAGCGCTGACTGCTGCTGGAGTGCGTTCGCGTATATACCAGCATTTAGCCTCCGAGTAAACCGTCTGTCGCTGCTTGGGAATCGTTGATTATTCGCCGCAGGTCGAGATCTAGTTTTTCGACAGCACGGACAATTATGTCACGCTGCCGGGTTTCGAGATCATCCTGGCCCCAATTCTCTCCTTCCCTCAACCTCCGCTTTTTCGTTCTTCAACATATTTCCCATATGCAGGGAATATATTCGTTGGACTAGCAGAAGAAATACCCCCGTTCCGCCCATTTACCTCCATCGTTGTGGTGCCCTCCATGTGGCAGTACTCTTCCATTCCTTATCCGCCTTCCAGGGCTGGATATTGGTCCCCTGTAACTTCCACTCTGAATTGGTGTGAAGAGGTGCGTTGAATTCATTTCCAGTGTCGCAAGAGTCTGGCAAGCGTGGCAATGTTAATGCGGAAAGAAAAAAACAATTTCGCCCCTTGTTAGGACTACTATGCGAGCGTCTACTTCGCTGAATTCATAAACTCCCTCACGAACTTTATGTTTCTCTGTCTAGGGGTTAAAGGTCTTTTGAGCTGTAGAAAGAATGGCCACGATTCGATCTTCCACATTTCCTTTTTGGGGTACTTCATTGTCGGCGTTGGAAGTTTCCTGTTCCACTCTACCTTAAAATGTGCGTCCAGTGGGATTATATCGCCCTATTTATAATGCTTTTCCATATCTATGGGATAACCCAACTAATAGCAAAAATATCAGACCCGATGCAACTCGTCGACGAGCTCTCCATGATATACACGACCTGCCTAGTCTGCTACGCCACATTTTCATTCTCCAAATCGACCAAAAGCCGCATATTCCTAGGCCTTTCCCTTCTTGGCCTAGCCCTCTCCATAACCTTCTACTATCACTACATCCAAAACCCGGTCTTCCACCAAAATTCTTACGCCCTGCTAACTGTGATCGTTCTCCTTCGCAGCATTTGGGTAATGGAAACCACATTACGCCCGTCAAGCCGCAATAAGGGCCAGGAATTCCGCCCAAAACGCCAGATATACGAAGATGAGCGGGATTTGAAGATCCTGAATACCATGTGGATCATGGTAGCGTACGGCCTAGTCTCATTCCTGGGCGGCTTTGCGATCTGGAATTTGGATACCATGTTCTGTTCTCGGTTGCGCGGCTGGCGGAGGGAGATTGGGCTGCCATGGGGGATTTTGCTGGAGGGGCATGGCTGGTGGTATGTAATTTACCTTACCCTAATCTCTTTTCTTTCCTAGAGACTTGCCGTGATATCACCAATCACCCGGAATATTCACCTATTAACAAGCGAAAACAGGCATCTCATGACGGGCATTGGCGCATACGTTTATATTGTCTGGGGCATCTGGCTACGCCACTGCCTCAACGGACGCCAGGATGAATACCGCCTCGTCTGGCCTCATTTCTATAGCTTTCCGGACATCGTTCGCGTCTCCAATTCTGACAAAACCAATGGTTCGTCGACTAAGTTGGTGACATCCTGTGAATCTCGTCAAAATGGGGTGTCGGAGAACATACATTAGATACCTCTGGTATTAAATATTTCTGGTATTAGATATTTCTGATTCCCTTTTTGGTTTCTTCCTTCCTCTCTCGCATTCCCCAGGTTTTTGGTTACCCATAGTTATAGATATGTGAAGGAAGAAAAAAGGGCAACACTTCACCTTGGCTTACCGCTAAGCCTACACGCTATAGCCATGTGTATGCTTGCTTTAATTGTACTGTTAGTATGTTAGACAGGAGGCGCGGTTGGCATATTTTGGGTTAGCGGTGCACTTCACTTTGGAATGGGTGTCTTCTCCTTCTAACCCCTTCTAATGTAATCATTGATTTCTTTTTCTTTTACAGTGTATACTCTGTAATGAACATATATAGTGGGGTTTTACCAAAGCTTTGGTGAGGCAATTTCTAAGTCATGCACCTCTACATTTTGGCTGAGGATAAACAATTGCGCTAGATGAAGAGGGACATCGAGTGTAAGCCGTCTTCATAATAACGGCAGGATTCTATAAAACATAGTGCACATCCTTGACAGGTGTAAAATCCAAACAATGCGGCGATTGTATTGAAGTATACAGCATCTCCACAGAATATACCGTCTAGTAAACCCTGAAATCAGCAAAATCTACTTTAAAAAAGAGGCAGGCTTCACAAAACAGTGAAACACTAGCAAATAGGAAAAATCACCATTCTCGAGATGTTACAACAGATGTAAATCCCTGAAATGTATTCAAATAAAACAAACCGCCATCCAACACTCTCATAACTTCGCCCCGGCCTTGGACACTACAGCCAGCTTCCCCTTCCCCTTGGCCGGCGGCGTGATGTAGCTTTTCCACTTCTCATCAATCGTAATCTTTTCCACCCTGGACATCTTCTCCCACTTCCTCCTGAACCCATCCTCTTCCACCCTCCACCGCTCCATCTCCTTCCCAATCCAGCCAGCAGCATGATCAGCCGCCTCCCCTACCGCTTCCATCGGTATCAAATGCCCCACATCATTCAGCAAGACAGATTGGACACGGCCCTCCGCCACCCCGCCGCTCCCTCCCACACCAATGCCCGTTTGGTTAAGCTTATCCTGGCAGGACTGCGGCAGACACATGTCCGACTTGTCTGCGAAGATGTATAGGACGGATGGGCGGAGGTTAGGCAGCCGGTCGAAGGTCAGGGGCACTTCGGGCCTGTAAAATGGGTACCCTGCTGTGATGGCTGGGTGGAGGTCGGGATGCGTCATCCGGTTTACCGGATGGCTACTGGTTGGGTTGCCGTTGTAGTTGGGCCGGGAGAAGGTGAAGACTTCTTGGTGCAAGGTGGTGGTGAGGGTTACCGGTTTTGCGTTGCGGGTTGTTGTTGTTGTTGTTGAGGTTGATGATGATGGTGGTGGTGGGAGGGGGTGGAGGGCAGTGGGTAGTTCTCGAAACCCGTACTGGATCCAGAGGTCAAGGACACGAGGGTCCCAGGTTTGGTAGAATTTGCTTTTCCTTGCGGCATCTGCGGCGGCAGCGCGGGAGGGCCAGATGTCACGCCGGTAAGTGGAGGCGGCAGTTGTGGCTGGGACGTTGTTCGATTTCGTGTGGAGGGTATGTTCTTGGGGGGTTATTGCGAGACGGCTGACGACGGGATCCATAAGGATGAGGGAGGTGATGAGTCTCGCGTGCATTAGGGCAAGGTTGATTCTGAGTGAAAGGTTAGTGGAATTGAGGAGGCAGAGAGGGTAGGCTGCAGAGGCGACAAACAAGTTGTTCCCACCCATACTGTGGCCAATACCAAAGATCGGACGGGGCATTTCTGCCCGCTTCAAGTTGATGAAATGTAACAGGTCTCTGGGATGGTCAAACCATGAAGCTGTTATTCTATGGATTAGTTACTTTCCCCGGAGCCAGGCAGGCAATTCATGAAGCTAGATAAACCGGGCTCCGGGACATACGGTCATTGCCGAGAAGATTCTCATTCAATACTCCGCTCTTGCCCTGATGGGCCGCATCTGCAATCCAAATGCCTCTGATTCGGAAACTATGCTTCTTTGCTCGCGAATGCAACTCTTCCCAGAGCGGCTCGTATAGTTCCTGTCACGATCAGCAGTTAGTCAAGAGCGATTTTATAGACATAGCAGAATGACGAGATGCTCTCAAACACGCGGACGTAGAAGGCTATGCAAATAACTGGGATGGGCACACAAACCTTCGGGAAGCCATTTGCATGCGCACCAATAATGGTTATATCCCCTGGCTTCGGGTTGGGGTTGTTGATCGGGACATACTGCTTGACGGATAGATAAAGGGTTCCTTCTTGCTCCGTATCAATGGCCCCCGGATACTCCCTGATATATTGACAGGGAGACACATGCTCAATTACATTAAAGGGTCCAGATATCATCTTCCAAGTTGGGTGGACAGATGAGCGTCTAGATCTAGATATCAAGAGACGTTATGAATAACAGGAGATTTGACCCGCAACGCTGGGCCATTATAACATATCACTGAGAGCTCTGCGACGATCTGACAGTTATTTAGTCAACCAACTAACCGATACAGGGCCGATTGCCTCTGCCGAGGCTCTCGAAAAGGCAGAACGACTTCAGAGGCTATTAGCCTGTGCGCAAATATTCGGGAAAACCTGTGATAAGAGGGACCTTATGACGCTGATGGGGAGACCATCTCTATTTCTTTTTCGTCTGTTTGTGATATTTCTCAGTGTTGTGGTCATTTCATTTCTCTGCATGAAATTATGCACTAGTATTTCGTGTTTTTATCCTCTCCAAAATGTCACGTGCAACATTGCCTGATAAAAGTACGAGTCGTTTTCCATTCATCATTAAATAAATAAATAAAATAAAATATTTACAATCCCAATGCCCTGAGAATCTCCTTCCCTACTCCGGAGGCACTGGCTGGATTCTGCCCTGTAATCAGAGGAGCGCCAGTGGCAGCCACCCTGGAAACAACAATCTTCTCTGCCCAGGGCTCATCAGCCTTGACATATCCGCCATTCGACACTTTATTCAGCTCGGTCTCTAGTTTAAAGGGCATGTACTGTGCCATCTTGACTGCTGCCTCTTCCGTGTTAGAGAATCCCGTCACCTTGGCATCTGCGATGAGAGGTTTTCCACCAGCAGTTGCTTTCAGGAGAACAGCTGGTCCATGGCACACGGCGGTTACGGGCTTCTTAAGTTCCGCAAATTGCTGGATCAGCGCCAGGGAGTCTTTGTCATTATGGAGATCGAACATTGCTGATAGATTATTGAAAAGAGCGTAAATTAGCTATGGATCGAGGATCAAACCTCGGAGGGAACTGGAAGGGGAACGGGAAGCTTACGCCCATGACCGCCGACGTAAAAGATGGCATCGAAATCTCCGGCCTTGACTTCGGAGAGCTTGACGGTATTACTCCAAACAGCCTCCTTTTCCTTCGCAAATGAGGAAGCGACTGGATCATTGGCGAATGCCGTAACGGACCCAGGATCTAGCGGAGCGACACCCCCTTTGGGCGAGGCAATCACTAATTCAACTTTGTCCTTGAGAATTTCGTAGGGGTGGGCAAACTCTGGCTGTTAAAGAGGGTCAGAATTGATGCGATTCTCAGCTAGAGATGCAATCAGCAGAAAGCCAGCCATACCAAGTACCAGCCAGTGGGGTTGCCAGTCGCTGGGATCTTGTCCTGAGACGTGAGAACGATGAGAACTTTCGGGGCCATTTTGGAATATGTTCGTCAAGGCTTGTTGTGGTCTTGATGCACAGGGAAATGTTTGGAAGTCAAATAATCAAGTTGTGGGATGAATCTTTGGGTCTAGATGCCAGTTATATAGGATTTTCCCTATTGTGAACCAGGTGCTAGAGTAGGACGGAATGCAACAACTCCAAATATGGTCCAGTTTAAATCCGGATATACAGGCAAGTGGGCAGGAATTAAGATCTTATTCCCTGACTAGTTCTCTCAGCTGCCGTGTAATTAATAATTGTTTTCGATCCGCGAAGCTTTCTGTGTCCTTGTCCTTCAATATATGTGGGCGCACTCCGAGACTCCGGTTAATGCCGTGATGACGTAGGGGTGTTGTCAACCTTAAAAATACAAGGTAGTGTTGTCGAGAGTGGCACTGTTGCTCTAGGACATTTCTACCAGGATTCTTGCATTCTCTGCGCATATGGACCATCCAGTTGTTCGGTCAAACCCAACAGGGGAGTCAGTGGCTCATCCACACCAATTAACCAGCGTTTCTATCCCTCTAAAATTTTCATTCTTCATGCTCCCCCGGGGATAAAGCCGCCAATCCTAACCCTTATCCATATTCTAACTTACCTGGATTTAGTTGCAAGGTGATTAAAGGTGTTGAGTGTGTATGCGTTCTAAAAGCGATCTTGAAGCCGAACGCGGCCGCTGAGATTGAAATTTAACGTGTTGCCACACCGTCGACACACTTCATATCTTCAAATCTTCATAAAGAGTGGAGCTAAAGACGACAGAATAATACACCTAACTCATGTTTGACAGATAACAGACGAATGGGAGTTGCTCCAGTGAGCGAGCGTTTAAAGCTGGATGATTCTCCAGCTAACTGGTTTATGAAATTAGCTTGGATTACTCTCACGAAGTTCAGCCTAACCCTCTGCTCCACCCGGTTAGCTTGATATCAATTCACTGATGCTTGGGAGATATCTGAGAATGAAATTATTAGGGGAATATTGGAACAGCTTCGAGGTTTCAGATGGAGGCGGCCATGGAGGGCGTTTCTTAGATGGTAACTAGATAGTTGCCCCAACAACTATGATGATTAATGCTCCGGTCAAGAAATAATGCCCTCTACTCCCGATACGAAGTAATTCCTCTCTCCTCTCTGGATCCAGCTCAGATGGACAAGGAACCACATGGAGACACAGGCTTTTGTGGTTTGAACATTGATAGACTTGCGTCTCGGAATCCTTGAAGATCCGGAGATTCGCCCAAGGTCGGTTCAGGGGTGGCACAGCACGTGATTCGGCGTCATCCCCAGGCAGTAGAAAATCGCGTAAACAACCATCTGCGAAGAGTCCAAGTGTTAAGTTGCGTGCAACCCCCCAACATCTACTCCACATATGCCTTCATTATATATCCACAGCTACAGACCTGTTACCTGGGTGAAGTAGTGTAATATGGAGGACGGCCAAGCACAAGGCGAACAGCGATTATTCTCTCAATGCAGAATTTGTATTGTCTGCTCCCGCACAGTGGATGCTGACAATGATGCCCAGGTACGGCCGGATGCTCCATCCATCTTCCGCCTCAACGCAAGGCCGTTAACATTGCTTAGCTAGCAGCTGCCATCCAAAGCCTGGGAGGCACAGTTACCCTTCATCGATTGCCTGCCTCATTACCTCCAGCCCACGAGTTTACACATATTGTGTCTTCCACCATCGACTTCCCCGGTCACGATGCGGTTTGCGACGCGCTGATACCCGTGGTTAAACCTCAATGGGTGCATGCATCAATCTCGAAGAATAAGCTCGTAAACCCTAGACAATATAATCCCGACCCAAGACTTTTCTTGAATGATGTTGTCGTCGCCTGTGCCGATATTCCAGAGGGTGATAAGGATGCCATTATTGGTGGAGTTCTGGCAATGGGGGGTTTATATAGCTCCAAAATCACACGTACCACGACGCATCTAGTGGCCCTAACCTTGAACTCTGACAAATGCACAGGCCTTTTAAGCAGAGGCTTGAATATCAAAATAGTCTTACCCCATTGGTATATGATTTTTTCTTTCGCCCTGTAGTATACATCGAACTGCTTGGCCGCGATCTCTAACTTTTAAACTGTAGGTTTGATGATTGCTTAAAACTGGGGAAGAGAATCGACGAGCGCCCCTACTTGTTACCAGATCCGGAGATCCTTCGCGTGCGTCATAATGCTCCCGTGCGAGTCACTGAAAATAAGAATATTGTTGGTGCGTCATCATCCGAGCCGAAGTCCTTGTCTCCCGAAAGACTGTATGAGGAAGTTCGGAGCGATTTAAACGTTTTCGAGGGCAAGACTGTAATGTTATCGCGAGATTTGCAGATTGCGTCACGCCTTCATGAGTGTTTGGAAGAGCTGATACAAAAGGGCGGCGGCTCCGTTACAGACGATGTTCAGAATACTGACCTATTCATTTGTCGATATCGCGAGGGGGAGGAGTACATAACGGCTTCAAGGCTAGGCAAGGATGTTGGAAATCTATCTTGGCTTTTCCATCTCATCACGCACAATTCATGGATGTCTCCATTACGGCGGCTACTCCACTACCCTCTTTCCAGACATGGGATCCCAGGGTTTAAAGGCTTCAAAATCAGTTTGTCAAATTACGCTGGTGAAGCACGGATATATCTCGAAAATTTAATCGCGGCCAGTGGTGCTGAATGTACGAAAACACTAAAACAAGACAATACCCACCTCATCACAGCACATGGAACCAGTGAGAAATGCACCGCCGCTAGGGAGTGGAATATCCATGTTGTAAACCACCTCTGGCTTGAAGGGAGCTATGCCAAATGGCAGCTCCAAACCGTCACTGACCCACGCTTCACACATTTCCCGCACCGGACCAACCTGGGAGAAATCGTCGGTCAGACTAAAATCGACCGCTTCGCCGTCGAAGAGCACTTCTTCCCCGCGGAAACTGCTGTTTCTTATTGGAAAGTCCCTTCCGCAGCTATGCGCTCGAAGACTAACAATCTGCCGGCTAGTAACAACACAAATACACCAAATTCAGGTGGAAGAAAACCCACTCATCCTGCTCCAACCAAAATAACGCCCAAAGTGCCCAAATCAAACAAATCATTAAACAAACCTAGAGACTCACATCTTCAAACCCCACAGGCTCCGAAGTTCGTTGCAGAGGGAAAGGAAAATGCCACTCCGTCCACAACGGGAAGCAGAAAATCCAAAGATATAGCTACTGCTAGGCTACATGAAATTGCCCCTGACATTGCCCTTTACGAAAAGGAAAAGAAACGCGTGGGTGGGGTTGTCTACGGTGGTCGAAGGAAGAGTGACCTGAACGAGAAAAGCTCATCTCGGAAGAGATCGATGGAACGGGAAGATGAAGTAGACATCGAGGGGGCAAGTGAGGTTAGAAAACGGAAGCAGACACAAGTACCCATTGTCATGCATCTTCTCCTCACGGGTTATCGGAAATGGATTGGAGATTTAAAAAAGGAGGAAGCAGATAGGGTTTGTGGTTTCCATTCTGTGCTCTTTGAATCTCTTGAATAAGCTAACACTCCAAATCGCATAGCGTCAACTACGGAATCTAGGCATCCACGTCGTCCAAGACGCCAGAAAATGTACTCATTTGGCGGCCCCTTGCATCTTACGAACTCATAAATTCGTCAATGCCATCGCCTATGCTCCCATGATCCTCAGAACCGATTTTATAGACGCATGTCTCGAACAGAACCAATTATTGAGCACGAATGATTTTCTGCTGCATGATCCCAATTCGGAGGAGAAATACGGCCTCTCGTTAGAGAAAGCCAGGAATAATGCGATAGAAAACAAAAACCATCTGTTAGGCGGCAGGATTATATACTGTGTGGAAACCATCCCTGGGGGATTTGACGCATTTAAATCCATTATCGAAAGCAACGGGGGCCAGTGTTTAATGTTCCGTGGCCGATCGGGCATCACGCTACCAAATCAGCGTCGAAGCAGTGACGTAATTAGAGAGAATGACGGGGCGCCACATATGGATGAGATATATCTCATCAGCGGCACTGAGAAAAGCCATGTGAGGTTATGGCCTAAGTTCAGGAATATGGTATGGAATGCCAAAAAAATACCCAAAATTGTTCGTCCTGACTGGCTTTTGATTATTGCCATGGCGCAGGAGTGGCGGACGAATGCTTCTCTGGAATTGAAAGAGGAGGACGCACAGATGGCTGACGCTTAGCGTGTCGTGGCATGTTAACGTTGAATACAGCCCAATACACATTCACTGTACACTTCTCTGTATACGTTCATATCCATGACTTTCTCCGGTGTAATTGGCGTTTATTTCCGGGGGTGGTTTGTACGGGACAGTATTTAGTAGATCAATTTCGTTGAGCGTTCTTATCTTCCGATGTGTGGTATATAGGTTTTCTGTTTTGATTTTGGCTCCCTTAACTCGTCAACTTCCCTCCCGTTGTGGTCATGCTGATTAGTGATCCTGATCGCATGTTTAGATTTTTCTAACACAGTCCAACTGCTTACTTGGGGCATAATGAATACTGAGCGCAGAAGCCAATTTTGCGCTCGAAGTTAGTTCCAGTTTCTTAGAAGAACTTAACGCCTTGTTGATCTTCGCTGCCAAATACTTGGGCTTTACCCCTCTTGACCAAGATATTCAAAGACTTTAATAAAACGTCGGTATCCATGCCGTGGAATTCTGGAGTATTACCGTTAAATAAGCATACTAACTCTTGTGGCTCAGGGGAAGGGGGAGGGGGAGGGAGAGGGGGAGGAGGGTGTAAGTTTAAAAGCAAAATAACCAACCTTGTGAAATGGTGGCTTCGCCCTCCACCAACTCATATAGCGTAAGGACGGTATTTTTCTGCCCGGTGTCCTCAACCTAGAAGTTATACCAGGCGGTTAGCAAACGAGAAAAATATATAATCGCAAACCCATACTCCCTCTCCCCAAACAAAAGTCAAAAATAAGCAAGGCATACCCAATCAGCCAAAACCCCAGCCCACTCTTCCGGCGTCCTCCACCAAATCCACGCTACCCCCTTCCCCCCTAAGTCTCCGCCGACCCACTCTGCCCTACGCCCGTCTCCCTCCCCACGAACCATCCAATCAACAATTGTCCTTGCATCTGCCAGACTGAGCCGCTTGCGCAGCTTTTCGTTGTAGAAAAGTGGAGAGTCAATGGCATCAATGAGAGAGAGACGGTAGACGCGGTGATGGCGGCACCAGGCTTGGATTAGCGCTGACCATTTTTGGAATTGTGAGAGGCGGGTTGTGGTGTTTGGTTGAAGGGTGAAGAATGGCGGGAAGGAATAGGTTGGGGGAAATTTGAAGGGGCCCGGTGCTGTTGCTGGAGACGTGGATGCTGGTGCGGAGGCGGATACGGAAGCGGATATGGATGGAGAGGGAGAGGGAGAGGGAGAGGGAGAGGGAGAGGGAGAGGGTGAGAGTTGATTTGGGGTTAAGCCGTGGGTTGGGGTGGAGTTTGTGAGCATTCCGCTGGAGGGAGGAGGAGTGGATGACGGTGTCATGTTCAATCTTGCTGGTTTTGGGAGATTCTATATGGGGGTTGAACTTCGTTTTTAAAGCTAGATTATAAAGCAAAATGGATTTAATGCAGATGTCGTATCGAGGTGTTTGGCAGTCATATGTATCGTACGGAGAATATCTTATCGGCATCAAATGTTCACTTCTGATATTTCCCCGTCGCGATCCAGGATCGGCCGATCAGATAAGATAGAGATCACAGGTCATCCACGTGACATTGGGCGGGACTTAAAGTATTAACCAACCATTGACAAAAATAACTATAGGAATAACAATATATTATTGTCAGACGGGATACAATGTCCGCGCCCAATTGATACAATTTCTGGGTATTTTGGGAAAAGACGTCTATATATTTCGAGGCAACAGATACAATTTTGGATTTCCCCGTGAAAAACAAAACTTATTCTAGGCTTCTCCGCTGCCTGCACAGTCGTCCGATCCTGGCTGGATCCTTGTCTACGGGCCCCAAAGAGAACGAATACGGCTTGCGGAATTAATACAAAGATAGCACATAATAGCAGGAATAAAGTTGAAATGTTATATACGTTTCCCCGAAAACGCCAGAAGCGCAGCGAGTACCGCAGAACCCAACAGCAGCAAATTGAGAGCGGAGCAGTCCCTCTTCCCCAGAAAAGGCTATACCGACAGCGAGCTCATGCGAACCCGTTTTCTGACCATCGGTTGTCATAGTAAGAGTTCCACTGAGGCTTGTCTGATGCGATAAACAATAAGGAATAGTAAAGAAGCTAATATATGTGCCTAAACCAACCAGTCCCATCAGTCCAGCGCACATGGATTGGTCAACACATTTTCCCGCCTACATAGACCCAAATCCGGAGAACGTGAACCTTAGTGGTGGACGACTTTTAACAAAAGATGTCGAAATAGCAGATATTGGATGTGGATTTGGAGGGCTATTGGTCGCTCTGGCACCATTGCTGCCGGATACTCTGATGGTTGGTGAGTTATCCTGTTTCTAAATAAACAAAATGACAACGTTTTGATCTAACAATTGATCTAACAATCTTCATGTAGGCATGGAGCTCCGCGCCCAAGTCCTTGAATATGTAACAGATCGCATCCGCGCTCTGCGTGCACAGCGTTCTGCATCACCCCTACCAACACCTGACACCTCATCCACGCCTCCAGCAAAAGCCCTCGCTGAGTCCTCGCAGATGGCAGCTAGCGCATCTTTTCCTTCGCAATCACAAGAACAATCACATTCTCCAGCTCCACCAGCACTATCCTGTGCGAGTGCCACATACCAAAATATCTCCGCCATCCGTTCTAACACTATGAAATTCCTCCCAAACTTCTTCGCGCATCACCAATTATCCTCCATCTTCATCTGCTTCCCAGATCCGCACTTCAAAACCCGCAAACACAAGGCGCGAATCGTATCCGTTTCGTTGAATGCTGAGTATGCATATGTTCTCCGGCCTGGTGGGAAGTTATATACCATCACTGATGTGGAGGAGTTGCATCGGTGGATAGTCAACCATTTTGAGGGTGTAGACGGAGGGGGAGATAGAGAAGAAAAGGCAGACGAAGAGGCCGGAGATGGAGGGGCAAATACCGTAAAAGAACTGTTTGAGAGAGTAGGGGATGAGGAGCTGGAACAGGATCCGTGTGTTAAGGTTATGATGGAGGAGACGGAGGAGGGGAAGAAAGTCACAAGAAATAAGGGACACAAGTATGTGGCTGTTTGGAGAAGAAAGGAAGATCCGCAATGGCCTTGCTGACTGCTTTTCGTTATATATGATTTTGTGGTTAAAGAAATTCTTGGGATAAGCTTTTAAATGAAGCGATGCATATAGAATGCTCAAATTTAAGGTCGTATTACCGGCAAATGGAACTAAATTTCAGATCCCAAGTTAGAAAAATTCGTTTCCAATTTTGCAAGTGGAGTGAAGACGAAAATAAGGAACCGAAAAATGAAATCCCCATTTATCACACTATTCATAGGTGAACTTCCTCGAAACAGTTAAGCAGCAAATGGAAAATTTCCCAAATTGAAAATACAAATTGAAGCACTAATTTTCTAGATAACGAGTTCGAAAACATGGCCTTGAAATAGCGGAAGATAAGGCGACGAGGTCTGAATCCCCAAAATTAGACCCAGTAAAAATGAACCATTGATAGACACAAAACAGCGTAACATGCTTTCCACTCAAAACATTCAATAAGGATCGTGTATATAAGATGCACGAAAAACACTCGGAAACACAAGACAGCAAATATCCAATAGCAATGCTCGATGTAACAATTCATCACATTCATCCAGGGAATGTCCGAGAATCTGTATCAGTTTTTGGATTACTCGAAGCCACAGATTCCATATTGGGACTGTAGACCGTAGTGCACGCTGCATGTGTTCAAAAATCAAGGAAATTCGTTTCCGGTAATGTCGCGACAAAAACACGCCCTTTGCCCCCAGGACTCTTCAGGGAGTTCACAACGGGCTATCGTCACGATATTGAATCGAAAAGAATTAACCCTTCAACCTTCGTCCCTCACAAGCCTCGCAAACAGCAGTCTCGACAGGTCCACCAATCTGACGACCTTTCCTGGTATATTTTGTTTCCCCCTGCCTAACGAAAAAGCGCCCTTCAGGCCCAAAGCTACCACTGCACTCACTGCACACAAAACACTTCTCATGCCACTGGCCACCCAGAGCAGTAACCACAACATCATCGAGCACTGAGAGCTTACATCCCTGACAGCGGGACGCAGTCCGTTTAGAATGGCAACTAATGCACCAGGCGTACCCAGCTTTCTCCACAAAGGGGGTGGTCGAGGTGAATGGATCGCCACATTCGGCGCAGAAAAAGTGGCCAACATGCCATTCCGCCCCGCATGCGATGACGACTTCGCCTTCAATTGGTGTCTTGCAGCTTTTGCACCGCGGGCTGAAAAGCTCGTGGAAATCTAGGTGACAGTAAAATCGTTTGCCACTGGCTTCTTCATCGCTAGAGTCCGCGTTCGCGAGTCTTTCCGCTCTTTTGTCTTCGGGTTCCTGGTAAAAGGCGACGCACTCAAGTGCGGTTTGGCAATGGTGGCATGATAAACATTCGGGGTGGAAGCGCGATCCACACGCTGTTACTATACGTCCAGCTATGGGTAGTCTGCACGAGTCACACGAGGCGGCTGGAACGCCCGCTCGTGCATAAGGAGTATACCAACGATTTGTTGTTGAACCTCTCGAATTTCTGACGCCACGCTTTTTATTTTGGCTTGAGTCCGGGCTGGGTAGTGGTCGGGTGCTTTTCTCAGCAGCCTTCATCTCAGATATTGTTGGGGGTGTGGATGCTGAAATGGTTCCTGCGGCTGAAGCATCTCCAGAGTCTTCAGTAACCGGAAATGCAGGCTCTTCGGGAACATTAATGGTTGGTATCACGGTAGTGGATGCTGGAGGGGTAACGTCCACCACAGCGGGTTCTCGCGTAGATCTTCCTCCAAGACTGCTCCGTGGCGTGTCTCTAGGCGAATTTCTCCGTGATTTATCTCTCCAACATGGATCAAAGCTCACAATTGGGCGACCAGGACGATCACTAACAACCGTTGGCATGGGTAATTTAGCGCTGCGATCCTTCAGTCGCATACTTGTGGCCGCACGAATGTCGTTGCCACGTATTTCTATACCATTTTTAGTTGGAGGGGCGTCGTCAGCGTCTTTGCTACAGACGGGAGGTGGTGAAGGTGAGGGGTTCTCTCTGTAGAGAGGATTCCTCGACTGGGATGGAGGATTCTTATGAATGTCGAAAGGACAGAACTTCTTTTGAGAAGAAACTATATTGGATCTTCCTGGGAATGGTCGAGCACCGAGAGGCAACGAATTTCGAGTCTTGATTTTTAAAGATGAGCTAGATACTTCAGGTTGCGTGTTTTGACCCTGGTTTTCGGAACTGTCATCCTGCGGCTCCTCGTATATAAGATCTTCTGGATTTCGGAAAATGCCCTTAGCTGAATCATTGCTGGCAATTCTCGTTGTTCGCGGCCTCGTGTTCCTTCCGATAACTGTGCGTTGAGAGTCGGAATCTTCAGAGGGCAGAGAAAAATTAACCTTAGATTTTGTCCGCAAAGTCCCTCTGTTGGTGACCAGATTAGTTGCATTATCCTCCGGAACTTCGACAATTTTCGGTGGAACATGAGATCTTGTGAGGGTGCCACGTCTTTGGAATTCAGGACTTTCTCTACCGGTATTGCTGTCGTTTGAGCTATCTGACGCAGATCGAAGGGTTCCCGGCCCTCTAACACCTGAACTTTGTTCCCCAGAAGCCCCCAGACTCTTGCTTCTTGCATGTGCACCCTTCTCCAGATGCTGACGAAATTGGTTGGTGGCATATAGGTCTGGATTTCGATATGGGGCTGTTGGATTAAGCTTGGGAAATCCGGAAGTCTGGTGGCTCAGCACCAACTGTGTGGCCTCGTCCTGAGCCGCAGCATGCAATCGTTTTTCCTCATCTTGAAAATCCATCTCTTCCAGAGCTTGCCGTAAGGAGCGAGCTTCTTCCCTTTCGATCCACCTCTGATCCCGTTCTCTATATGTTCCTGTCTTTGACACCAGGGTTGGGTTTGGAGTGAAACTTCTTGATATATCATACGATGACGATGGTGCGTCTTCGTCCACCAATTGTCCGACTGATTCGCTTTCGACAGAGAGACCTGGGTTAGTCCTATGGTGAGATAGAGCGCTTGCTGAGCGATTGTAGGTTTCTCCGGATGCAAGGCGAGGGCTTTCTAAATCCGCGTTTATAGATAGTGCTGACGACGCACGTGGTGGCATATCGCTTCTTAACCCCCGGGTCGATGACACATAATTCGTCGGCAATGGTCGAGATCCATTGGGTCGGGGAGGCCTATTTGTTCGAAGGTCATTCAGGTACGTTGCTACGAGGACAGAAGTATTAGTTACTAATAGGGGATGTATATGGCTCTTCGACAGAAGAACAAACACCAAGCATAGCAGTGAAACCTGCGAAACTCGAACTGATCCCTTCCCAGTAACTGTCGTGAACCGGTAAATTCATGCAAACAAAAGGGCTTTACCCACCAATCTGTTCCTTGTTCATATAACTTGGGCCCGGAGGAGATATCTTCCGGGTCCCAGTCTTCGACCTTGCAGAGTGTATCATTGATGTTGATGTCATTTACTCAAGGGGGCTCCAAACAGGATGAGCTTAAATTGCCAGCCAAGAAAACAATACGGTCTTGTGTATACGTTGGCGGTTGATATATATAAAATATACAAAAAGATATTCTTTGTTGCTGGATGTTTATGTAGATCGAGGGGAACAGACAAGATATCGATGAGCATGCGGGTTAATAATAATGCTTATTGTTGATGTTCTGGAAAGAGGAGTGCAAGAGATTTTATCATCAACTCAGGAGAAGATTATATTTATATATAACTCCCCATCTTCGGGCTGTCTCGCCTTGTCCCATCCACCAACGCTAAGTCTGTTACATGTCTCTCGCTCTCTTCGGCTTCAATATTTCTTCTTCCGGGCATCGCGTCAACAAACGCCATGTCATCGTGTCACGTGACCCGTCGCGATGACAACGCGGCAACAAACTGCCACGTGACTGACTGGGAGGCTGAATCCGCATCGGAACTACACAATAATTTACGATCAGGAAGATCCCGACCCTTGGAGGTGAGGTTCCAATTTACAAGTCCTTAACCTTCTAATATAGTGGCAGCCCATGACCCTTGAACAACGAGGTATAGCTATGCCTTGGAGCTTCCATCAGTTAGTTAGTTACATTTAACTTATCCGGAAACTATGCCGGAGACAAGTCTTACCTAGGCAGTTAATGATGCCTCTGACCCAGCGCTCCATGGCCCCCATCTGCCTCAAATTCCCCCGCAATTCGGGGTGTCGGCACCAGAAAAGCCTTTCCATAAGTCCGAGAAGCCAGAATCCTGGTACTCTATACTCACCACGACTGGTTGCAGTAAGCCGGGGACGACATCAATACCCCCACATCGCGGCAAAACATTAGTCAAGTTTTGACCACATTTTCCCACGGCTAAGGGAAACAGCACTGCAGCCGCTTCAATGAGATCCACATTTGTTGTAGATATTCTCTTTTGTCCCTTTTATCTGTTGCGCGCTGTCAATCCAGAGCGAGAGTGAGGATACTAGGTTATTCAAGGATCTCCGGAACTATTTTCCTTGAAAGTTCAATCGAAGGGATATATATAAATTTGTCATAACTAATATATTTCCCATCCAAATATTTATGAAACTTCCCTGCTTTCTCCTTGCATGGTTTTTGCTGGCGAAAAATTCCCCCTTCACGTCAGACTCTCCGGTAAAATTCCATACAGACGGTCGAACTCTTATAGGGTGTTTTGGAATCAATATTGATACGTCGGCCATGTATCGATAAGTCATGACCAACAATCGTTCAAACGACATTGAGGTTGAGGCTGGGTTTGACTCACATCAGACCCCCGTGGAGCTATCGGCCAGGCAGGGCAGACCTCCAGAAGAAAAGGTTCCGGAGAGTGATATAACCCAACAGTCTGACGAGGGAATAGACGATAAACCGCCGGACGATGCACCACCAGATGGTGGATATGGATGGGTTTGTGTGGCGTGCTCAGCATGGATCAATGGGAACACATGGGGTTTGAACAGTGTAAGTTTTGATCCTGATCAATATTCCGCCCTCCCGATACCTGTGTTCTTTATGGCTTTGCCGGTAAAATAATAAACAACTGGCTCATAGGCTTCCCTGCTACCCCTAAGCTAGTCATACGCTGTCTTTCTATCTTATTATCTATCCCATGATATTTTCCCCGATGCCAGTGATCTCACCTACGCTTTTACCGGCGGCCTAAGCATGTCATGCTGTCTATTGGTAGCCCCTCTGGTAACGCATCTAGTGCATCTCTTCGGAAACAAACCCATTCTTAATGTTGGAGTCGTACTCCAAACAATCTCGTTCATCGGGGCTTCGTTTGCCACCAAGCAATGGCAACTTTTTCTAAGCCAAGGGGTCTGTTTCGGCTTCGGCATGGGTTTGCTATTCATTGGCTCCGTGGGCATTACGTCTCAATGGTTTCTCCGCAAGAGAAGCATTGCAACTTCCATCTCGGCTGCCGGCTCAGGTATTGGTGGCTTAATCTATTCTTTGGCGACGGGATCAATGATATCGCGATTGGGGCTTGGCTGGACATTCCGTATCCTTGGCCTCATCACATTTGTCGTCAATCTCATCGCGGCCAATTTAATAAAAGACCGAAACAAAGCTACTGGGTCCCAATACAAAGCATTTCATTTCCCCCTGCTTAAACGGCCCGAATTCCTCCTCTTACAAGGATGGGGCATTTTCAGCTTACTAGGATACGTTGTGGTACTCTTCAGCCTCCCCAACTTTGCGCTATCGATTGGACTCACTGCACGTCAGGGTAGCATCGTAGGTGCTCTTCTCAATCTTGGTCAGGGGCTGGGACGTCCGGTCATCGGTTTACTCAGTGATCGCTATGGCCGGCTCAACATGGCCACCATCCTCTCAATTTTCTGCGGTGTCTTCTGCTTAGCCGTCTGGACCCCCACCCAAAGCATGGGTCTTTTATGTTTCTTCGCCATCGTCGCGGGAACCGTGGCAGGGACATTCTGGACCACTATCGTTCCTGTGTGTGCTGAAGTGGTCGGTCTCCAACAGCTCCCCAGCGCATTAAGCATCACCTGGGTTCTAATGGTTCCCCCCACGACTGTTTCGGAACCAATAGCAGTTCTCGTGAAGGACAACTCGAAGAAGAACCGCGCCTATTTGTATGCGCAGCTATTTGCGGGACTTGCATATATTGTCGGGGCATTGTGTTTGTGGGTCGTACGCGCTTGGAAAGTTGGCGATAACGAAGTTGCTGCGGAAAGAAAGGCTGTTGCTGATGCCGCGATTGCTGCGAGGACGATGAAGATTGGTGGAGATTCGGGCTTCCTCACGTCAGCTCCAGTTGACACCACTTGCGTGCCTGAGGAAAATATACACCCGTCGAACCAACCCGCAGCAGCGCCGCCAGTAACGTGTACAGATCCTATTGCTACAGCGACCAGACCAAGCATATGGAACCCAGTTGTGCTTCTCCGCAGTCTGCTTACTTGGGATATCATATGACGATTCTTACTGATGATGAGAGGACTCCATGCAACAAGAACGTTGGCATATCGGATCTTAGAAAAGATTTATTGATTTCTCACTGTTCATTTTGCATTTTTGAGATATCATAGATAGTACGAGCTTTGCTTTTACATCAACATCTGAATCACACATGTACATTCATATGTTAGAATTTATAAAGTGTACTTTTTGAAAAGAGCTCCTGTATATTTGTTGAGGGAAACGTGATCGAACGTACCAGAGTGCACACATTCACCTTGTGGATGAAAAAGCTGCTACCTATCAAGAAATTCCTACTTTGCATTTATGTTTAAAAGATTTAGAATTGTAGTCCATGATCCTGTGCATATTGTGTGTACTCTTTGCTTCCTATAACATAATGAGCCTTCCTTTGGTTTCTAAGTCAAAAAGGATTCTATTTATATATATCACTCCCAGTGACCCAATCTAAATCAAACCAGGCCCAAAATCAATACTCTCACTCTCCTCTTTCCAGCACCGCGGCCCCCTTCCTCCTTCACAGAGCTAACATTAACCTTAACTCTATCAAACAAGTTGACCACCACACTCTTCTTCGTATCCCCACCAGTTCCATTCTCCCCTTCCTTTTCCCAAACCTTTAATGAATAATCCTCTACATGAAATTCACTCTCCCGCCTTGCCGCAACGTGTTTCCCATCCCCTTGGGTACTTCCGGGAATAATGAAATCTTCTAACCTCACAACACCCTCAATGCCAAATCGTGGCACGAAAACAACTACACCGTTATCGAAAACACGCATGACATATCCTTCCTCATCTACTCCCGCATTCGTACCCTTGCCCTCCCCAAGTTTAGACGCCTCTTGTTCCCCACGCGCCTTGAGCGCCTGCCCGACATAGTATTCAATGCTTGCACGACCAGCAAACTGTGCGTTACGGTGGCGATAGTTGATATTCTTGCAAATATCTTCCAGCCGACCCCTGGTAGCTAGACCTTCTGCGGCAGAGGCACCAGGTCCTTCGTAGCCTATCGCGGCAGCTAATTGACGGTGGACGACCAAATCCGCGTATCGCCGAATGGGAGAAGTGAAATGGGTGTAAATTGGTGAGGCAAGGCCGTAGTGGCGAAATTCAGATTCCGCGTGGGCTCCTGCACAGAAATATTCAGCTGAAGTCATGCATCTAGTCGCTAGGATACGAATAAGAGTGTTGAAGAAAGGGTTGGCAGGGTCGACACAGTGGTCAAGAGAAGTTGCTAGAGCAAGAGAGCTGGATACATCAAGGGTCATATTGCGCTTTTTAGAGAGTTGGGCAATTAATTCTTCGAAATTTGAAGGTGGTGGAGTAGCGTGGCGTCGAAGCATGGCGGTTTGGGGGAATGCCTTGAAAATTTTGGAAGCCACAGTGATGTTTGCGAGAAGCATAAATTCCTCGACTAAGCTGTTGGTTTCTAACAGGGCTTTGGTTTTAACGTCTGTCACAGGATCAGATAGTTCCGAATCGGTTTCAATGCGGACTTCCGGAGACGCTAAGTTAAGTGCTCCTGCATCCATTCGCTTTTGTTTGAGCAATTTCGACAGCTTCAAAAGCGTTCTCATGCTCTCTGTTAATTCGTCAGTTTTCGATATGTCATCGATGCGTAACTGGGCCTGTTCGTAACTGAAAGCTTCCCTAGAGAAGATGACAGACTTGGTACAGGTTGACGATACGACCTCGGCGGAAGGTGTCATTTCCCAGATAGTTGAGAAGGCATAGCGTTGAACATGTGGCTTTAAAGAACATAGGTCCGTTCCCAGAAGCATAGGTAACATATCGATACGTTTATCCACAAGATATACCGTTGTGCCTCTCATGCTAGCTTCGGTATCCATAGGTGTATTTGGCTTCACGAAATGGGACACATCGGCAATATGGACACCGACTTCAATATTTCCATTAGGCAGAGGGCGAGCATGGAGAGCATCATCGATATCCTGACAGCCCGGAGGGTCAATACTACAGACAAGTAACTCCCGTAAGTCTTTGCGATCATGCCATCCAGGATCATCCATATTTTGTGGAACCTTCCAGTTATGACCTTCTGGAGGAAGGCAGTCAAGCACAATCTGCGGGAACGGTCTATATTGAACATCGTACTCGAGAAGTAGCGCTTCAGTTTCGGCTCCTTTGGTTTCCAATTCTCCCAGAGACCGTACAAAATGGCCCGTTGGGTACCTAGAATCGCGATCCCAGGCATCAACCGTAACTAGGATTCTTTGGCCAAAGAGTTCCTGTGCTTGTCTTGTTCGTATCCGAATTTTGGGTATTCGCTTATCCATGGGAATGACAAACACAGTTTGCTGTCGCCTTCCAGACTTAGCCTGAGCCGCTGTCGATATCTTGTCGATATTTCCCACATACTGGCGCCAATTCCTTTTTACTATCCCAACCACCCGAGCTGTTGGTTGAGGTCGACCCTCTGTAGTCTTTACGTGCGCTTTGCGAACCTCCACCTGTAGGGCTTTCTCCTTTTCCGTCACCACGGCTTCCTTCTCCTCATATTCGGCATTTTCATCTTTGGTGACTGTTTCCTCATCCACGATTTTTGTCGATGGAGCCTTCCACTGGTCCTTTGGAAGAACCTCCACCACTACTATATCGCCTGATATAGCTCGATTACTGTTATCTCGACCAAGAATGAGGAGAGATTTATCAAAAGCTGCTACCTGTACTGATCCCTCGAGATAATTATAGGGGGAAACATTGAAAACTCCCTGGTGCAGAGTTCCAGCGCGAAGACCAGTCATCATCTTAGATATAGAGTAATACTCAGGGTAAAACAGTTGGCCCCTGGTTGCCCTGGAACTGTGCGCAGACTTAGCTTCGTTGATCATGTCAAGCAGTCTATTGGAATCCTCAAGGCCAGAAACATAATCAGATAACGACATGGCCGTAACTCCCTCCTGTTCTCCTTTACGAAGATTATCCTTATCGTCGGTTATGACAACTATATCTGGGGCAGTCTGCTCTATATTGCTTCTCTTCACCGCATTGCGAAGATGTTCCTCATACCATTTTGCTGCTGTTCGAACGGCCCGATCATTTCGATCGTTAATGCTTTCCACAGCTCTTCTCTTGACATGGGTCTCTAATCGGAATTCATTGAAAAATAGGTAATACCGTTTTTCCTCGCTCCGAATTAGGGAAATCAGTCGGTTATATAGAGCTAGAGACTGGTTCTTCAACTCCTCCAGCACTGTCTGCAAAATAATCACATCGTAAAAAGAACCTGTCTGTTCGAAAAGGTCCATGCCATTAAGAAGCGCATTCGTATCTGGCATTATGTAATGGCCTCGGGGAAATGATTTCGTGCCAGCGGGCCGCTCAGATAGCACAAACGGAGTTACTTCACCCATAAGTTAGCATCGATAAATAACTGATTGCGCAAGTAGATTTCTAACCATTTCCATTGGCGTCAGTTGGTGCGTATGACAAGCACACAGAACATAGCTTCGAGGAGCATGGTATGTCTTGTCGTAGGTATAGTTCCCGTACAATCTTCTGGGCCTTCCCGCTTTTAGTTGACCTGACGAAGATTTTGCTCGAGACATTGGCGGCGAGCGGGTTTGAAGAGTGACCCCTCTTTAAACTTTTCATCCTGGAATTGTAATAGAGCCTATAGGGTTCGTAGAATATTCTCAAATTGCGACCCGGTCCAGGTGGTTCGGGGCGACAAACCAGGACTGAGTTGCGTGAGAGCAACGTTCCTGGACGAGCGCGATGTGGTCAACAAAGGCGATTTCTACTTTATTATTAGCATTTCTGTATACTATAATTGGCAGATGGCATATCGAAAAAATGAGTAGTTATGTTGACAAGTCAGTTCAATTCCAGTTATAATGATATCGAAGATAGAGATGCTGGTGTAGTCTCATTACAGTCCACTTTTCCTAAACAAGTATTAAATTTTTTTACTTGGAAGTTTCCCGCTGCGGCTATTCACACACGTGATTAACTAACTATTCGTACCGGTGGTTTTTCGCCGACTTGCGCCAATATCAACCGTTAGTTGGTTTTACTTCATATTCTAATCCTAAATGAATTCAACATCAGATAGGAAGTGGATATTTACTGCTTGATAATACCCTTATAGATATATGCACATATGCACATAATAATGATGTGAATACCGGATCGTGAAAATGGCAATTGCAGTATGTTTAATCCGTGCCATGTCAGTGGAGGGTTTTACTAAGTCAAGTCACAAAGGCAATCGGCCAACTATGCTCGACAGCGAGCATGGCACACAACTTGTCTCAATGTCAAATACTTGTTAAAAAGGCTGTTGAGGCCGGCGCAAAGGTGATTGCCAATGTTTAGCCTAAATAAGCCCAAGAATTACCCGATGCGACACAGAAGCTTTTCCACCCCTAACCAGAGTGATTGGGGTATTGGAAGCCAACTACGCTTGGTTCTAACCTAATATACTACAAGCACAATTAGGCGCTTTTCCTTCCTGAAGCATCAGATTACATAGCCACATCGCCGTCAGAAACCGTCTCGCTCGCTCAGCCTGTACAGCGGAGCGCATTCGTTCTCGGTCTGCAGAAAGAAGCTCGGGAATCCAAAATACCAATCAATGTGGGAATTCATGAGCCAGCCCAAGGGGGTGAGAAGGTGAAGAATACGTTGATATGGATTGACGAAGTTGGGGAAATTACGCAACGGTATCAAAAATTACATCTGTTTGATGTTGACATCAAGGATGGCCCTGTATTGAAAGAGAGCAAGTCCGTGAACCTATGCTTTGCAATACACAGGATATGTTCGAATTTTACTTCGTTTACTTCTTGGTATTTCGGAGATATACTGCTTTCATATTTGCTAACGAGCACATGAAACAGGAGTGTCGAAAAAGGGATGGGAATTCTACCTCCATTTTTCACACCAGTTGGCCGTGTTGGCCTCAGCATCTGCTTCGATGTATGTTCTGCGTAAATATATATGATTCTTCCCCTCTTAGCTTTTTGCCCGTACCAGGCCCAACCAGGAACCGTTTAGTAATCATCCCCATACATACAGCTCCGCTTCCCAGAAGTCAGTCTATCCCTCAGGCGACAAAGTGCACAGATAATAACCTACCCATCCGCATTCACCGTGCCTACGGGTCAAGCACACTGGGAACCCCTTCTCCGAGCACGGGCAATTGAGACACAATCATATGTCATTGCGGCCGCCCAAGCTGGGGTCCATAATTCGAAGAGGGTTAGCTACGGACATTCCATGATCGTCAATCCGTGGGGAGAGGTGGTTGCTGAGCTTGGGGATGGGAGCCTGTCACAAGAGCCGGAGATTGCAGTTGCCAATATTGATCTGGAACTTCTAGAAAAGGTGAGGAGGGAGATGCCACTTTTGAGAAGGATAGATGTCTATCCAGAATATTAGATATTTGTCATTGAGGTGGTATGAAGTGCTTCTGCTAATCAGGATGTGTGTTTCTATCGTTGGATGGATAGTGGTGGACCGACTGAGGATTGTCTGATTGAGAATTGACAGGTGGTGTTTTCGTATACAAGCACTTAAAAATGTATTCTCTAGACATTGTATATGAAGGTCGGTGTTTATAGAAGCAATAATTTTACATCACCATGGTATTTTCTAGAAGCTGGATAAAGATTCAGTTAATCCAGAAAATGCAGCTCAGGCCCCCTCCCCAAGCGACTTAAAACAGAAGATGGATAGCACCCCAATATAAATAAAAAAAAAAAAAAAATTAAGGGAAAACGATAAGAACAGAAAAGGCGCAGTGCCAGAAACATGCATCGTTAAGGACTAGCCTGAAAAATAAAAACAAACTCCACTCATTCCTCCGCATTCTTCACATTCTCATCCCATACTGAATCTGTGCGAACTGTCTGAAATTTATATGTGGGGCGGTAACTATATCCCTTCCCTTCCTTCCTTTCTTCTTTCTTTCTTTTCCTTCCCTCCCCCTCCCCCTCCTTTTTCTTTTTTACTGGCTTTTCACCATTTCTTGGAAGTTCTATGTACAGCGGAATTACAGTGTAGGTCAGGTAGATTATTGCTCTTTTGTCGCGTCGGGGTCTTCAAGGATGCCCTCCTTCTCTAGCCGTCTTCTGGCTTCCTCCAGGGCCCATGCTTGTATCCTAAGTGATGATCAAGAAAGTAACTGTTAGCCTTTCTAGCTACATTCACGTACAGCGGACATATCGATGTGGTCGTAAGAGTGGGAGATTGGTAAAGGGGAGAAGAGAACACGTACGATGTATCAGGTTTGAAACAATACACAACACCAGCAACAACCAAACTACCAACAAAGCCATAAGTCCATAGGCCTTCCCATCCTTCCTTGACGTATTTGTGCCCGGGTTTCACCCCCCAGAGCCATCCGGTTGGCGGATCGAAATGGTCACCATGGTCGCCACGGAGCGAGTTCTGCGTCGAGAACGCCTGACGATGCTGTGACAAACGGAGGATGCAGCGAGATCTCAGAGGAAGAGAAGGAGGCCGTGCGGGCATTCTGTGGTTGATTAGCTGCGGCTGTGCCGAGAGAGGATGGTCCCGGGAACCAATGTTAAATTAAGGGCCTTCGAGAGTGCAGGCAACGCGGATATGTCGCCAATGGCGGTAGACAGAGTTCAGAAGGGTCTGCCTATGTTGATAGCAAAGTATATGACTGCAGAAGACTAAACCACTGAGTGCTGCGGCAGAGATATATTGGGCGTTGAGTTGAAATTGATGCTGGTCAGTTGTCGGAATCCAAACCAGTTGGTGAGTAACTAAGTGGTCGGTATGTTTTCCACTTGGCGGCCGTGATTGGTCAGTTGGCGCTGTTAGGCGAAATTAGTTAGGCGCCGCTTGGTAAGACGCCTGTCAGCAGCATAGTTAAGCCTTCCAGGGGGCTCAAGCTAGAGATCTGCTACATCATGCAGAAGAGGTGAATATTTAAGTGTCTTTCTAAAGAACTGCGGTATACTATCCACAACATATACAGGTGGCGTTTAAAGTGTCGCGGGTCGTTGTTATGTTCATACTCCTCTATCACGACCACCGTTAGGAACACCTGTTCGACACCTGGAATAATAATTATTATTGTTCTCATTCTCCTTATTCGAGATGCAAATGTGAAAGCCTGTTTAAAAAAATGTAACAAAAGAAATACTGTATAACACAAATAATTATTTAGCTCACCGGAAGATGCATGTTTTCACTGACTTTAAGCGTTGTCAAGCGGCGCGAAAGTACGAAACTTTTATCACGATTTTCGCAGATGAGAATGTATTTTAGTGCATTCATTTCCTGGATGTTCTGGCAAACTCCTTAGCAGCGCATCATGCGAATCTTCGTGCCAGGCTAGGAGGCCAAGTTTTAGTTCAGGGTAATTAGCTCCAGCTCTCTCTCCGTCCCTCAAACCTCACAATCACCGGAACAAGGGACCTTTTTCTTTTTCTCTTTTTTTTTTTTTGGGAGGCGACGAATCTCCCGGGCCACATAAACCAAAGCGGGAGTGTTCAATTCTCTCCGCAAAGGAACCCGCTATGGTTAACGTAATCAACCACCCAACGCCCGTTTACACCCAACGCCCGCTCAAATCTTCATTTTTCATTCATCTTTAACCACCCACAACATGCACCACGAAGCAGTTATACAAGCCGCGATTGATGATTTGAACGCGCAATTAATGCCTAATTACACTGAGACCGCTAAAAAATATGGAATCAGCTGATATATGTTGTCAAGGCGTTATAGAGGCGTTCAAATGTCAAGAAAGGAAGCAAGCTCTATCCACTGCAAAGCTCTCACTGATTTGCAAGAAAAACGGCTCCTTTTTCATATCAATCAATTAGCAGATCGCGGTTTCCGTTGTACGCCCCAAATCCTTCATAATCTCGTTGTTGAGATTCTAAAAGCACCTATTGGAGTCAACTGGGTGGCTCAGTTCTGCGAGTGCCACAAGGATGTGATCAAGTCACTCTACCTGTGAAATATCGACCAAAAATGCAAGATTGCAGACAATTCTGCATACTTCAAGCATTATTTTGATCTTGTAATAGATTTCTTTCTTATACTGCTTTTTTAATTCTCATCTTGCTAATTTATCTTAATTTTTCAGCTGCAGGCAAAAATCATGAAATACAACCTTGAACCTGCAAATATCTCCAACTTTGATGAGAAAGGATTCCTATTAGGATTCATTCACACCCTCAAACGTATTGTATCGATTAATTCGCTCAAATCAGGCTGTATGATAGGTGCCAGCCAGGATGGCAGTCAAGAATTCATAACACTACTTGCCTCAATTTGCGCAGATGGAACTTCGCTCCCACCTGCTCTCATATATCAAGGGGAATCAAGAGATATGCAAGATACTTGGCTTGAAGATTTTGATAGTGAAAAGGATCAGGCCTACTTCACTGCTTCAGAAAATGGGTGGAGCAATGATGAATATGGGTTAATGTGGTTAAAGAAGATCTTTGAACCTCTTACAAAAAAGAAGGCAGGCCGTGGATATAGACTTCTTATATTGGATGGCCACTCATCCCATGTTAATATGGCATTCATCAATTATGCAGATCAGAATTGAATTCTACTCACTGTTTTTTCTCCCCATTCTACACACTGATTACAGCCGCTAGATGTTGGGATATTTGGATCATTGGGTAAATCATATTCCAAACAACTGAATGAACGAATGAGAACTGGAATGGGATTCATACACACTACAAAGAGGTCTTTTTGGCAGCTTTTTGACACTGCGTGGAAGGAGACAGTTACATCTTCAAATATTGAAGCTGCATTTGCTGCCACTGGCCTACATCCGTTTGATCCGGAACGCGTTCTTAAAAAGCTTCAAATACGACCTTGCACCCCCCCCCCCCCCCCCCCCCCCCCGGAGAATTTTTTTACCACCAAGAACACCTATTTCTATTGTTGGCCTGCGGAAATTGGTGAAGCAAGTCAAGCAACAGCAGCATCCAATATCTAATGATCTCAACCAGGTGATCTGTGCAGAGGAAAATCTTGCTCTTGATAAAGAGGTTCTTTTAATAGAGAATCGGCAGCTTCAAAAAGCTCTTAATCAAGAGAGGAGATGTCGCAAGCGTGGCAGGGCAATGGGGTTGCTAGATCCCTTGAATCCATCATTGGTGCAGTTCTTCTCGCCGGCAAAGGTGCAGAGCATCCACGAGAATTTGGCGGCCTCAGAGGTTGCCAAAAAGGATGAGCAAGCTCGTAAGGAGGATGCAAAGCTGCAACGCACTATTCTTGAGGAACAGAAGGAGGCAGATATCATCCAGCAGAGGATGGAGCGGGAGGCAGCTCGCCAGGCCACAAAACAGCAAAAGGAAATGGATAAGGCTGCAAGAGCTGCTCAACGGCAGATTGACAAGGAGCTTAGAGATGAGAAAAAGGCTCAGGAGCAAAAAGAAAAGGAAGAACAAGCTGCTGTACGGCTACAATCACAATTGAATAAGAAGATGATTGAAGAATTCCAAAATCACCTTCCTAATCAGGAAAGTAGACCCTCGATTTCGCAAAGAGTGGCTAAATCACGTTTTCAGAGCCCTGCCAGGGTGCCCACGGATCCACTGCCAGAGGGATATGACGATATTGCAATCTCTACTGATTTAATGACTGCTTGCTTGCTGAATCTGCCTCCATCCAAGATTTCACATTCCAGGTGAGTTATTAAGCCAAACAAACGTTTACTGAATTAGCTATATATTTTTATATGTAATTTTTCTATATATATTTTCATCCTATAATATATCATCTTAAAATCTAATTGCGTTGTTGAAATAAATAACGTTGAAAATATTTCATCATAGTGATGGCGAAATGGCGGGCGTTGGGTGTAAACGGGCGTTGGGGTGGTGGATTACGTTACGTAATCCAGAAATGCTCTGGTCAACCTCGGCATAGGGCTCTTCGGAACCTGATGACATTTACTTATATTGTCCGCCTCCCGGGGTTTGCGGGTTCGTTTTTTTCCTTTCCTTCTTTCTCTGCTCCTCCCTGTCTCTTCTCTCGTTCACATTGTCCTTGTGCGCATTGACTCTCCGTTCTCCCCTTCCCTCATTCCAATCTACACCCCTCCGCTTTCCAAATGGCCCCCATTCCCGAGTGGGTGAAGGCTTTGAAGCCTGCTGGCCCACAGGGTTCAGAGCTCCTACAGCGTGAGCGGGACAGCTCAAATGTCTCAGTCGACAAGCTGGGGGAGCTGCTTCATACCAAGGAGGTGCTTGACAGACAACAGAAGATTCTAGCCATCATGAAAAATGAGAAAATTTTTGATAAATCCCAGAACCTATCTATGGGCCGTGTGGAACGACTGACAGCATCCCTCGGGAAGGCTAAGCGCATTCAACAGCTGAGAGAGCAGCACAACTGGACTGACGAAGAATTCGTGATGGCCAACAATCTTC